TCATATGGTACCTCCGAGGTATACACTATATTCTCACGTTTTCCCAATGTACCTTGCATTGCTTGCCTAAATCACACTCTTGCACTATATTTCTGATACTGCCTTTCATCTGCTTGTCCTAATCACAGGGGGATTCACACGCCATCAGAGGATACGGGACCACATCCGCGAAGGAGTGGTACATGGAGCTCCCCGACAGTGTTCGCTACATCATCGATGAGGCCGACTTTGGCTCATTCTGCATGGGACTCTTACGCCTTATAGCGAGTAGGCCTTCATTGGGTGCCTTGGTGGAGAGGTGGTGGGATACCACTGACGCCTTTCACCTCTCTACCGCTACATCAGAGCGAAGCCCGGTTGTTGCTGACACGTCATTGCTGTAGCTAGAGGCAACCTCTGGTTGGCTGAGCTCTATCACAATCCGCCCCAGTAGCGGGGGCTCCTGTGGTATGAAATTCCCGGCATACGGTGCCGCTGGCGGTGAAGCCAACATTCCATAGGCCAGATCGGCCACGGATCTCTGGAGGTCACCAATCATTCCCATCAGCTCGAATGTAGTGGGCTCGCAAGCCTGATACAACTGGGGAGTCTAGACCGGGTGCGCGACAGGCAACCTAGGTGGATGCGATACATCAACATTGGTTTCATCCCGCAAGGCGATCCCTTGATCTAGCGTAGCTGTCATAACCACAATCTCTTCTGAATTCTGCGTCATCATAAGTCCTGCCTCAGCAAAGGGGGAACACTACTATTCTGTATCAATTCTATGGACACTCTGAACTGAAACGAAAAACAAACAGCATTTCAGCCTAAACAGATCAATCACAGGTGTAGCCGAACAACTGCACTCTACTACTGATCACTGTTCCCCAGAATCACTGTTCCCAAAACTGAACTCGATACCCACAGATAACTGATTTCTCAATAACACTGATACTGGTGCCCTCGGGCCTGATACTCAAACTTACAAACTGATATGTACGTTCCTGTAGAGATGCACTCTAAAAGCACATAGCAGATAAGTGAGAGCCAAAACACCCCTATGTTGGGGTAGGGTTTCCCTGTCCTATTTTGTCAGGAGCTAGGGTTTCACTATGCACGCAGCAGTTCCAAACAACCTATGATCGGGTAAGCAACCTGCCCTAGCTTGGAATGGTCACTATGGATCCGAATATGCACTAGGTCGAATGGTCAAAAGGGTGCCCCGGTAAAACCGGGGTTTGTGTTCCTATACTGTCAGAGCCCACAACCAGTCAGCCTTATGGTCATGTCTTGACAAGACAAGCCTCCGACAAACCGTTCAAGAATGGCAGATGGCAACACGGTGTCCTAGGCGCACCAATGCACATGCAATGCAAAGAAACACATAAGTGTAATCAAAACAGGATATCATGAGTTCGAGTCAAGATCTCTAAATTCCCCAGCGGAGTTGCCAGAAACTGTAGCACGTCCGCGAGGGACCCCGCTACTACAGTTCGGACTCGATTTGTGTCACGGTTCTTAATCTGAACCAAAGAGTCCAAATCCAACAAATCGTTTTGAGAAACAGATTTTTGAAAAGAAGTGCCAAACATGGACTGCTTTGCCAGATACAGAGTCGCCACCTAAATATTTTTTAAGGAAGAATTTAGGAAACCCTGACTCGGTGCCAAAGGCCACGTGTCCGTCATCACCAAAGTTGCCTCGGCTCGGGAGCTAGGGTACGATTGGGGAAGGTTAGCTATGAGCACCCCCTCTCGCCCGATCCGAAGATCGGCCTCTACTAATCGTGATATCCATTTTTGAAAATGCTATGTGTTCTTATCCCGATTATTAGCCTAGAATTACTATGTTATGTGCACAGCACAAAAGTATAGACTAGATTGCCTAATTTGGGAATAAGCATTGCATGTCCATTTATTTTGAAAAAATGTTTTGGAATTTGCCACTCGCAAGTAGGCTAAAACACGGATTTCAATGAGCTATTCCAACTCAGACAATCCACCCTTCACCCATAGGCATTCAAGCAGTTATATCACATAAGCAGCTAGCCTCATGGTAATCATGCTATCATGGCAACACTCACACGCATGCAAGGATGCTAAAGCATAAATACTTACATCGCACTCCGTGTCAAAACAAAGAACTCGTTAGTAATCAATGCATGATCCAAGTCCATGTTTAAATGTCTAATGCAACGCATACGGAATGTCACTAGAGTAGGCTCGGCTAATCTATGAATGACATGTGAAAATGCACAAGTAGCATACATTCAAGTTAGATTTGAAATACTAATGCAGTTAGCATGATGCGCCGAGCCCGATGCATGCAATACTGATGAATGATGCACGCATACATAGCATAAGGTATGCTAAATTAAACATGACCTATTACTAACCATCAAAGCAAGTAAGTAAACGGGAGAAAGAAGTGGGGGTTGGAAGACATGCACACACTCACCCACACTTATTACAAATTCGTCCTCGCTTAGAGGGACCAAAGAATAATACAATTCGAATAATGAATTAACTATCCTAGCTAATTAATTATTACAGACCAACTAAATTAATTAAACAAACTAATTAATTTAAGAAAGCAAGAAAAAGGGCCT